CGGGGCTTCGCGGCCTCTCCAGGTGTTTGGCTTCGTCCTTGGGGCCTGCGCTTCTGGGGCAGGTTGGGCCTCGGCCAGGGCCGGCCCTCATGTGGGCCAGGGCCGTAGTTGGTGGCTGTCACTCAGCCTGGGGACAGCATGCGGCTGTGGGCAGCTTAGAAACGCAGCACGAGGGAAACGGGCTGCAAGTGGAGCTTTTGGTGGAGATCAAAGGTGCTTTGAGGGTGGCAGAGGGATTTGCAGGACGAGGATGATTTCAGGCTGTGAGCTGTGGGCCTGCTCTGGTTTGACACCAGCAATCGGAGCCGAGCAGGGTCGGAGGGGACTGGAGCCGGTGTGAGGTGGTGGCGCTGCTGGAAAAAGCTGCCCTGGCTGCTTCGTCCTGCTGCAGCACTTGTTTTGCCACCAGGAAAGCAGTGACTGCAGAGGGCTGGCTTTGGCTACCTTTACACCTGCCACAGGGGACAGAGTCTCCATTCTTCGGAGGCTTGTCTGGGGTGTTGGGAACAAAATGAGCTCTGCTGCAAAACTCCATTCTGAGTCCATTTGCTGCTCAGCTCGGAGCCCTGACCGGCGAGGCCACTTCTGGAGTTTTAAGTGTTAATGTGTTTGGAGCTTGTGCTGTGAAGATGGCACAGCAGCCCCAAAACTCTGCTGCCAGTAAGGCAAAGTGGTTTTAAAATGCCTCCCTAACAGTTGGCTGATCCCAGCAAGAGAGGTAAAATGGGAGTGTTGCGAAGGAGGAATTTGGAGAGCATTGTGAGCCTTCTGGCCAAGGCTGAGTTTTGCATCTTGCTGTGAAGAATGTGTAGGGTAAAAGCAAGTTTTGGAAGTGGCCTTTGAGAGCTGGGCCTGCGCTTTGGGGGAGAAGGGGCTGCCAGGTATTTCACCTTCCAGGTGTTTGGGTGGGGAGCAGCTCTGTGCTGGTGCTTCATGGTCCTGATGCCACAGGGGGATTGGTTTTTGTGCTGAATTACACAGAAGTGATGGCTTCTGTGCTAGGCAAAATAGTAGATGCTGTCAGTGGTCCAGCACAGATGTGTCACTGCTGCCTGGAGACTGTCACAGGGAAGCGAGTCCTCTGCAGGCAGGATTTCTAGCACGCCAGCGGCGTAGGGGAGAAAGTCAAATGGGACAAAACCAGATGACGTTGTTTGGCCTCGTGTTACTAAAGCCTGGAGCGTGACTCTGGAAGCTTTTTGATGCCTCGTGCGTGAAATGTTTTGCTGCAACCTCACGGTTCAACCGCGTGATGCTTTTTAGTGAAGGTGGACCCTGGTTGGAGCCGCAGGGCGTGGGGTGGTGCAGCGGTCGCGTGTTGCATGGCTTGTGCCTAAAGGGTGAAGTCCTGACCACCATGACGGGTTCTCACCTTGCATCCTCACAGAAATTATTTGGCTTTTAAGATCTTGTGTGTCCCTTAGCGGGGGTCAGGAGGACCTTCAGGTACATCTGCTGCTGTGAAGTGTTGGTCACGCTGCCCGACGTCAGGTTGGCAGAGTCGAGGTGAGACGTAGCCGGGTGTGATGGCAGCTGCTGGTGTCTCCGTTGGCAGGTGAAGGAGCTGGTTCTTGATAACTGCCGCTCGGACGATGGGAAGATCGTTGGTCTTTCTTCAGATTTCGAGAACCTGGAGTTCCTCAGCATGATCAACATCAACTTGCTGTCTGTCTCCAATCTCCCCAAACTCAACAAGCTCCGGAAGGTGAGTCAGACCTTGAGTCCCATCTCCAGCAGTCCTTGCTCTGGGACTTCTGCTGCCCTGTCCCTGGTGGCAGTTATTTTTCCTGTATTTACCAGAAAAGGGCTGTTTGATTTTGCTTTTTCCCCTGCAGCCTACAATCCAAACAAGTGAGAGAGGTGGTTTTAGTATGCAACAAAATGCTTTTGAGCTCATTATGTGTTTAGTGTCCTTTCTCTCTTGCTGTTGTGGCACTATCAGAAGCTTCAGTAACGTCATAATATTTTGGGTTTTAGAGCATGTACCCCTGTGTCCTGCAGTATGCAGGTGGCTGGGAGTGCTGTGTTACTGCAGGAAAGTGTTGCAAGTGAAAACTTGAACTGCTGCTGTATAGCATGGCTTAAAAAACAGGGTCTGGAGCTTGGGTGCTCACTGCAGTCTGATTTTAGGGGAATTTTATTCCCCATGTCGCAAGCCGAGCCACTTTGTGACTGTGTGATATTCCTTCCTGGCAGCTGGAGCTGAGTGATAACAGGATTTCTGGTGGCCTTGAAGTTCTAGCAGAGAGAACTCCTAACCTGACACACTTGAATCTAAGCGGCAACAAGATCAAAGACATCAACACCCTGGAGCCCTTGGTGAGTGCACGGCTGTGCTGCAACTGGAGGGGTGACGTTATTTCCCTTGGGGACCGTGTCTGTGTCTGAGCAGGAGTCCAACATCTTGGTTCCAACAGCACCTTGTGGTTCTGATGGGAACAGGGGAGTGGGTCCAGTTTGAGCTTGGGCTAATAGTTAATGGCTCCTCTGTCTGGAAAACCAGCAGGCAGTTACTAAAAGCAGCATGAAATCGGGCTGGATGAATAAAACTGTGGGTGCAGTGTTCAGCGTCCATCTGAGAAAGGATGGTTAGTGGGTTGGATGCAGTTTGAGGTAGGTGGTGTGGGCACAGTCTGCCCCTCTCCCTGTGTTGTGTTGCCTGATGTTTTGGGCAGGATGAGCCTGGCTCAGTGATTCGTTTTGCTGCAGGGGGAGCTGTGGCTTTCTGTGCTTGTTGCCCATTCAAAAAGGAGTAAGATTTGCAAATGGTTTCACAGGGAGCTGGCTCCAGGGAGGGGAAACTGGGACAGAGGAGCTGAAAAGAAATCTGCCTACAGTTAGAAAAAGCAGTAACTTCTCTCCATCTGAAGAGCAAGTGGTGCAAATAATGCATGCAAAGACACTTCTAGGTCTGGGTAGCAAACCAGCTGTCCTCTGTTGGCTGCTGATCCTCAAACAATGTCAACTTGCAAATAATCTTAACAAACTGATCTTTGCAGAAAAAGTTGCCAAACCTGCATAGTTTGGACCTCTTCAACTGCGAGGTGACGATGCTCATCAACTACCGGGAGAGCGTGTTCACCCTCCTGCCCCAGCTCACCTACCTGGACGGGTTTGATGCTGATGACCAGGAAGCCCCTGACTCTGACCCCGAAGCAGATGGGGACGGACTGGAAGATGAGTATGAGAATGGGGAAGGTGAGGACGTTCTCATCGTGGTTTTCTTGCTGGGGAATAACCCCTTTTCTTCTTCTGCATGGTCATGTTGCTAAGTAAATACTGATTATAGCTTGTAGGGGCTGTCTGTGTGATGCCGCTCTGCCCTTGGCAGGTGTGTGCAGGGTCCGTGATTGCTTGTGTGGTTCTGGAGTTGCAGGTGCGAGTATTGTCTGGGAGCAGCAAGTATTTTGGAACCGTGACACTTAACTTCCCTCTTCTTTTGGTAGAAGGTGAGGAAGAGGATGATGATGATGAGGAAGATGATTTGGATGAAGAAGTCATTGAGGATGAAGAAGATGAAGATGACGATTTAGAAGGTGAAGAGGAAGAGGATGGAGTAGATGATGAGGTGAGACTTTCTGTCATCGATATAAACCCACAGCACCTCATTGCTATGTTTGGTAGCATGTTGGTCCATGAATCTGGTGACCCGCCTGGCCAGATGCCGTGTGCCCATCTGTGGGCAGATCCGAGGAACACCATGTGCTCTGGCTTTTCCTGTGCACATTTTGACTCGTGGTCCCCAGTTTGCCAGTTCAGACTTCTTCATTGCTCGGCCTGGTACTTCCCGTGGCTTCACGTGGGGGATCTGTAGGGATGCAAGGTGTTTAGGAGCTGACAGCTGCTCCCTGCCACCCTAAGGCCAGAGTAAGGCAGGAGCAGAGCTGCAGGAAGATGGTCCTGTTGAATTAGACTTTGCTTTCATGGGATTATGGTTCTTGCAACAAAGTGTCTTGTTTTGACTCCAGGAGGAAGATGAGGAGGAAGACGGTGAGGACGATGAAGAAGAGGAAGCTGATGATGGTGAGTTGAATCCTAACAAACAAAGTGCTTGCAGAGCTGCCTCAGCAGTGTCACACATTGCTGGTTTTGTGGAGCTTCCCAAGCTTCAGTGTGATGCTGCTGTTGCCTGCAGCTTTTCCCTGACACAAAGCGCAGCGTTTCTGCTTATGGTGCTGCTGAAGCTGTAGCTCGTGCCTAAGCTGACCGTTGAATAGTGGTCGTAACCAAAGGGGCACACAGTGTGGAGTGGGAAATGGGTTTCAGTACCCCCTAACACCAGCCAAGCTGGGTAACTGTCAGGTATTAGAGACAAATTGCCTACAAAACCATTTCCAAGTAGCTTGAACTGACAGAAGCAGGGCTTCTGTCGCCAAAGCTCGTATTTGCAGTGTGTGTGAGGAGGTGCTCTTGGGGGATGCGGTGCTCTTGGAGATGTGTACCTCTCGCAGCTACAGAGAAGGGTAGTCCCGAGCTTCCCGCATTGAGTCCAGACTCCTCTGGTTCTAACAAACTAACCACCTGAATGAGTGGTGACAGAACCTAGCGGCTGGCATGACTTCAAATGGTCTTGTATGAGCTTGGTCAGAAGTGACTGAAATCCACAGATGCTACATATTTAAGTGTACTCAACAAAAACCCATTTTCAAGCGGCTGTTGAAATGCAGGATGCTTGGAGGGCATAGAAAATAGTTAATTTGTTGTGCTAGTCCAGGCTTCTCTGGGTGCTGTGAGAAAAACTGGGCAGGGTGGATCTCCGCTCCGTAACGGTGCCAGTCTGGTCCGTGCTTGTTCACCAGCAAGAGCTGCGGCTGGCGCGGCTCAAGGCCGCGGTTCAAATGCTGTTCCGCAAGACTGAACCAAGCTTCATGCTTCGCCTCTTTTTGCAGACCTTCCGCGAGGGGAAAAGAGAAAACGAAATCTAGAGGATGAAGGAGAGGAAGATCCAGAAGACGAAGAGGACGATGAGGATGACTGATCCGAGCGAGCCAATCAGTTTTACAGACTATGACTGTGCTTGTCTTAACCTCCCCGTTGTGTCTATGTGAGACTGTAAATCCCCGTCTCCCACTCCTCCCCCCTTTGTATGGCTGCAGCGTCCACAATATATTTTTTTAAGATGTAGAATACTGTAGGCGTTCAGGGGAATCTTCCATACAAGGCTCACTTTCTCACAACTATCTCATGACCAAAGGCTTTTCTCCGTTCTGTGGTTTGTGCAGCAGTTTGCAAAAAAAAAAAAAAAAAAAAAGAGAGAAAAAAAAAGGAAAAAAAAAAAAAAGGAAAAAATTTCCTCCTAGGGTATCTTTCGTGTCTGAAATCAGCCTTGCCACACTGGACCCAGAGCTCCAGCTCGCCACCCTGCCTGGCAGCAGCGACGGCGTTTTCCCAGCTTGCTGAAGACACTCGAGCCATCTTGAGCAGTGGGTGCAAACCTGGTTCATCCAAACGGACGCCAAGCGAACGATCGCTGAGGTCTCTGAGCAGAAATCATGGTGATGTGATCTCTGGAGATGCTTGAAGATACTTTAGTGCTGGGGATGGGAGGTGCTTGGGGTCCTGGGGAGGGGGGGGTTGGCTGCTTGCAAGACCTGGTACCTCTGATGATGCACCTTGCAGTAGCCCTGCACTTGCTTTCCTATTTTTTTGTATAAACTGGAACATTTTTCCCAGTTTCCACCTCCTATTTTCCACTTGCATGTCCAAGTAAGCCTGATTTTTGTGGCTGGGAGCATCTTTGCTGGCGGTGGGGCTCCTCGTCGCCCCGCAGCAGCCTCTGCCTTCAGGAAGAGATAGGAAAGAGCAGGTTAAGGGATACTGCACCTCTGTCAAGCTCCATTTCGCACTGTACAGAACATGTTCAACCAGTATCACTGTGATGCACCTAACTCGGCGTTCCCCGGGAGACCGTGTTAGCTGATAGATTCTCAGGGTCCTTCTGCGAGCCAGTACCAGCTCTGGACGGCTGCCTCGGCGCCAGCCTGGTGTGCGTATCCTCTTTCCTTTTCAGCGCCGTTTTTGCGCGTTGCTCCCAAATCCAGCTCTCGCCCACGCATTTCTGGGAACACGGGCACTGCCGCAGAGCGCACGTTCCCCCACCCTGCGGTGGCTGGAAAGGGAAAATGGGGGAATAAAGCCAGGTTTAGCTCCACCAGAGGGTTTCTGACCCCTTGCCCTTGCTCTACCCAGAGGTGTTCATCCAATGGATCCACTCGCTTCTGGGGACAACTGGCCCGGTGGCATCCAAGGGCTGGTGACTGCTCAGTGCCGGAGCTGTGCTAGGGTGGGAGTCAGCGCTGTCCCCCCTGCCAACGGGTGCAGACGCACTGGCACTTTGGGACGTTCCTGGGGGTTGCTCTGGGCGATTGGGGGGTACCCGGCGCTGGGGGGCGAGATGCACGGCTGTTCCTTCCGAGGTGTCGCGGCACAGCCGAGGTTTCTCTTGTTTTTGTTCTGTTCTTGCTGTTTCTTGCGTTGTACAGTAGCTGTAACAATTCGGAGAAGATCTAGTCCTGTAAAATGCAAACTGAGTAACTTATAAATGTTAAAGGAATTTTTAAAAGAAATGTCAGAGCAGCAGTTACTTCTAATTTTTCCCTGCATTTTTAGCAGATTGTATGGATTTTATATTAGCCTAGTAACTGTCAGGTTTTGATTGGTCAGACTAGTCCCAGAAATAAGGATCTCCAGCCCTTTTGTATCTTTTGTTACAAAAATTTGGATAAAACTTTTAATAAAGACTTCCGTTTTTAAAAAGCCAGCGCGATGGACGTTGTCTTCGCTGCCACTGCTCTAGGAGCACCCATGGGGTAGAAGTTTTGAGGTGGTGATTTCTTGAGTCTACGGGAGTGGTGTCTGTCCTGTGCCCTCAGTTTTGGGCGGAGGGGAGTCCTGGGTCAGTGCAGCTTGGGAGGCTGTTCCTGGGGTGGGGGCTGGAGGGGCACAGACCATCCTGAATCCTGGTACGAATGTGTCCGCAGGGACTGTGTGGGGTGGTGCAGCCTTTGCTATACTCTGCATTCGGAGGTGACCCCTGCTATGCTTGCAGGGTCCAGGGAGAGGGTGGGGAAGGGTCCAAGGGTGGGGTTTTAGGGTGAGGAAACGTCTGGCAGTGTGGTTTTAGGGTGGGTGTCTACCATGCAGGAGGATGAAACCGGGTATGGGGTATGGACACGAGTCAGGGAGGAGGAACCCCGCTGTGGAGCTCAGAGCAGCTGCCTGCTCCTGCTGGAGCTGGAGCGGTCCGAGCTGTGCCCGACGCTGTGGTGCTTCCCCATCGCTGAGGCTGTGCCTTGCCGGGGCTCTGCGGGCCTCTCCGGCTGTGTGACGAGTTGCTGCTCCATCGGGGCTCAGCAGCCGGGGGGCGTCGACCGGAGGAGTCGGG